AATTATAATCTATATAATCTTTTGTAAGGAGCGTGTGAATATATGCTGAGCGGAGGATACAGGGAAAAAGTGACAGGCTCTATGAAAGGCACTAATCACATGGTGGAGCAGCTCTGAATATACATTTCCTACAGAGTGATCTTATTCAGTTTTGTATAGTGAGAGGAACTCAGTGAAAAGACTTCGTGTGGCTGGCTGGGAGGATGCTGCAGAAATTAGACATGTTCTCTGAATTCTGAGACACCCACAGCCTGTTCAGAGCCAGTTCTTCCCATCACGACAGGAATCGCTTTGTGAATGGAGAGAGTCGTGATGAGGGTGTCATTAACACAGCAAAAAAAAAAGTAGGACAATACAGCAGATTATGTGCAGCTGCAAACCTCATCCTCTGAATTAGATATATGAGTTCAGTATGACAGCTATTTCAGCCTCTATGCAATAATGTCTTATTTATCTGTAACATACTTCTCACTTTTGTACAGTGCAGCCTTTGATATTGCCCGATTAACAATTGATTTAAAAGGAAAGTGACCTCGACATTTTAACAATGCATTTGAGTTACAAAGTATATTTTCCTGAAATGCTGAAGTTACATTTTTGTGGTACTTGCACTCCACTACATTTCAACAGTTCAAACAATATCATTAATTGATAAAATATGCAACGTATAAAACATTGTTCAAGACTGAAATACACAGCAGTATACTTTGTTAAGTAGTTATTACTCATATAATGAAATGAAGCAAGGCTGAAGCCGGTGTAAATCAATGACAATTGACAAAAGCTACAACAACAACATCATGATGGTAAATGCTAAAATGTAGCCTAACAATAGTCAGAGATGTCAAATTCAGCAAACATGAATTAATCTAACTACATTCATCTTAAGCTTTGCAATATCAGTGTTCACCTGCCAGTATAAGTCACATATTGGACACACCAAATAAGGTTATACAAGGACAACGTGTGTAAATCCAGTGGTTCTCAACTGGTGGATCGAGACCCATAAGTGTCTTCTTTTAGAGATAAGAAAGTGGTAAGAGCGTTGCAATGATGTGATAATGTGTACGCTTTTATGTGAACAGCTACTGCGGGGTGAAGGGAGATGTGTCCCAGGAATGTCGCAATTAACAGCCGGTTTGTAGGACTACAGATGTGGGAGCTTTTATTGTGGCAAATAGGCTTGATTACAAAATATGACCTCATTTGGCGAAACATGTGGTTACTTACATTGTTACATTTATTTAAAGGAAAACTTCAAGCTTGGCCCACAAAATCTATCTGACTGATGCCGTTACATTACTTCAATGTCATATGTAGAACACGTAAGATCTTAGATTAGTTTAATATTACTGCTACAGGTTACACCACTTACAACAGACTTGGCACGAGCTGGACCAGCAACAGGTAGAAAACATGTGATGTGAGGAATTTACAGCTGATAAACTGTCTAATCTCATCTGCCAAAATCAATTGATATCATAAGGGGTTTGGGTGCTGTTATGTATTTTAGTATCGGTACACCAAAGTGGGATTTCCCCCATGATTTGAATAGATTTGTAATCATTCACCTCAGTCATTTACGTGAAACTTTGGCCTTTCAACACAATATAATTTACAAAACTATAAATACTTCACCCGCTTTGACCATCCTCCTCAGCTTCCCCGTGTGCCATTGGGTGAGAACAACTGGGTGCCTCTATGAATAGGAGTCCTTGGCTTTGGGCTACAGCTGAAGCATATTTAACAGAGGTCTTAACATGAAGCTTACGCAGCAGAACAAAGGCTTCAAACTTATGTGCGGACATTCAGTTTTTCCACTGAAGTTAGAATCCTACCCAAATGGAAAGCCTGAATTTCCTGTGCAGCAAACTGTAATTTCAGAGTGCATTTCCTGTTGAAAACTTCACCTCTCTGAGAGCCAAAAAAGCAGTGAATGTGGAGACTGTGTATCGACAGAGTCCCTCCACAGTATGGAATTGCAGGAAGCTATTATTAGATATCGCCTCTAACAAGCCGAAGATGAAGTTGAAGCTTACTAACTGCACTGCAGCTGAGATCCATTGTGCTGTATTCAGTATCTAGAGGAGCGGCACTAAAATGGCTGATACTCAATGTGCAGTGAAGGTCAAGTCGCCTATCTCTATAAATATAATGGTCTGTCCCCCAGGATGTTCCACACTGCTTGGCATTTCCACTATCTAAAGCTACACCACGGCTCCGCTGACCGCGCTCAAATCTGCCACAAATTTGCATGTGATTGAATGCCACACATGCACCCGTCTACTCGCAGGCCTCTAATGATATTAGCGGTTAAACGGAGGGGAGGGTAGAAGGGGAGAGAGAGGGGACAACACACACATACAAAGAGTGAGGGAGAGACGAGGGGGGGGGGGGGGTGGGTGGTGTTTATGAATGGAAGGAATGAGGTTTTCCTCCCTGCAGGCTGTAGTGGCTGTCATATGGCTGACTGAGATATCGCTTACAGGGGAACACTACAGGTTGAACAAACAGCTGATACAAACACCAATAAACACTTGAATACAATCCTTTCACTCAATCCATCAATCATTCATCCATTAAAAACAAAAAAAATCACCTGATTCCCCTTTAGGATCAATCTGCCATCGTTTCATTTATCCGTTGCTTTAAATCAGCCTCTCAAACCAGCTGTACTTACACCATTATCGCAGCAGTACCTGAAAATAATCTGACATGATTGTGTGTTTCCATGGAAACCATGCCAACGTCTGTTGCAGCTTGCCGGTTCCTGTCTACATATATAATTACCACAGTAGATTACAGCAACAAGACTGCAGAAATGAGTGAAGAAAAGAAGCTGCAGCCACACAGTTTATCAATATCTCATCATGCAGACTTACAGGTTATACTTATTGTGCTGGTGGACATAAAAATAGAGCTGCATGCACAGTGGAAATCAACGTTTCAAAAAGCACATCAAGAAAATTTGCAATTTTGGGGGTCTATGATTTAAAATGCTGCAATCAATCAGAGCTGCTACACTCACACACACACTATACAATATGACCAAAGTGTGCTGATTCAGTTAACGTGCAGGTAATGCGCTCTATGTAACTTGCCTACAACATTTTACATCATACATCATTGGTTGAAAAACGATTCGCCAATGGAAAGAAATTAATCAGCGACAAATGTGATGAGCATTTCAGAATTTGAGTCATGTTTTATGCAAAAACAGCAAGTTACTCATATGGGCTTCGTAAACAGGAATATCGTCTCATGTCTTTTTTCTCCTACCCTACAGGTACAATTCAATATTTTGGTGTTATGAAAAAATGTCTGGACTTTAAATTTTTGGTTATGGGAAATCATCATGAACTTCCAATTTTTTTTTTGCTACATTTTTATGGGAAGAATAATCTAATCACTTAAGACTCTATATCAGAAAATAATAAAAAGGTAAACCCTGAATCCTCTTTGATAGTCAAATAAATATATTCTATATGTATGTTATTCCTTCTCGATACAAAAAAAAAAACAATTTTGTTTTTGGAAATTAAGTTCAGTGAACTACATTAAAACATGAAAATCCTTATTTTAGTTTATAAAAGTGTCATCATATGAGCTTCAATCTGACATTTTAATCATCCCAGTTGTACATGTGATTTGCATTATCTTGCATTTTGCAAATTCTGACTGAACATGTCATCTAAATGGAAAATGAAACAGTGGTTTGCCACTTTAAATCGCCATTTTTCTCTCAAATGTGCAGTAGCCTTACTGTGTGTCCCGTTCAGCGTGCATCTGTCCACACATGATTTACATCCTCACATCCTCCTGTTGTGCGTGTTGTTGTTGTTGTTTAGGGGATCAGCTGTCAGGTGGTTTGGGGATAGCCTGCTGAAAGGGGGGGAAATGCAAGGACGTGAGAACCCCTTGCGAACCCCCCATTCTGCACGTCATGGAACATTTGCAGGAGAGGGACCTCCCACCTTAAAGGCGTGCAGCAGAGAGCAGACACAACACAGAGATCTGCCCTGCACCGGACTCACCATCTTAGGTGACAAATACACCTCTTCCATCGTGATGGAAACACAACAGTTTCATCTTAAAGACAGGTTATGAACGCGCGACGTGACGCAGCGGGGAGCTGAGGCTTACCAGTCACTTTGCAGCATGCAGATCCGCTCATTTCATTTCACCGACATTTCTCTGGTGCATGACACTGGATCCTGTTTTTCGGGGTCATCTGTGCTCAGCTGGGGTTGTAGAGATTAGTTTTGCGTCGTCAGCGTCCTTTAAAAAAAAAATACACTGCACGACCAGGATGCTATTAAAGATGTAGGCAGCAGGGGGCGCTAAGAGGTCATTATATATTTATTCTTTTCGATCTCGCTATCATTTTCTTCATTTCAGAACTTTGGATGATTATTGCAAATAATGTATTTAAAATATTTGTTTGGCTCATATGGCTCCCAAGTTACAATGGGCTGAAATGACAGAAGTGTTTATCGGGAAATAAAATGCGGTAGTGGATGACTCTAAACAAAATGCCATTTGCTTTTTTAACAGTTTAAACAGGCCAATTAAGAGGAGAAAAGTGCTGGGGTACTGGTGATGCAGTGGTCGCAGTGGTTGGGGCGCGCGCACCATGCATGGAGGCTGTGGTCCTCCAAGCGGGCGGCCTGGGTTCGAATCTGACCTGTGACTCCTTTCCTACATGTCATTCCATACTCGCATACATACACCTGATTTCCAGCTCTGTCCACATGTCCTATCTCTCATATAAAGGCACAAATGCCAAAAAATAAAAAAAATCTTTTCGAGGAGAAACTTACATAATGCTTTCATAAATCAAACATCTACAGCAGGAGGACTACACTGTAGTTGTGCAAGAAACACACTGATCCAAAATAGAACCTGAGAAATTAGTTTAATTGTTAAATCCCGAGGTCATACTATTTGAGATAATCTTTGCATTAACCTAAGTGTCCCAAGGTGAAGAAAATACAACCAAATCCTATAAGAAAGCATGATTTATTTTTGGAATGTGCAATTTTCCCCCTACATGCATACTTATAGAAAAAAAGAAAAAGAAACATGGAGCATCAAAGGTTCATTTATGTGATTCAAACATTCCTTCACATTCTAAACACACTTTATCATTTGATGAATTCTGCAGACTGCAGGAACATTTATTTAACATGTAGGTTTAATGAAAAGTAATTTCAAGGAAGTATACTGAACCCTTAAGGGACATGGAAATACTTCTATTACTTTTGATGTCGACTAGATAGGCGATAAAAAGTGTGTTGGGGATGAATCTCCTCTTCAACAGTGGAATCTCTGACATGTGATGTTGTCATATAAGAGAGATTGGAGGAAGGTTTTCGTATTTTTGATATAAAGTTGCATATAGCTTAGAATTAAAAGTGTAGTTTGGCATGAAGGTAATCGAATTGGCTCATGGATTGTTTTGTGTAGTACTCTGCTGGCTTGAGAAACGCTGGGTGTGATTCATGGACAAGCTATTAACATTGTTAATAAAAGTGTACAGCGATGTTGTTGTTTTCTCTTTGATGACCAGGTTAAAAAAAACATTAACTTCAAAAGTGCAGAAAAATTCAAAATAATTTCTACAAAAGCTCAATATTTTTTGCATTCAGGCTGTTTCTGGTTTTAAAAAATAACGACTTACATTCTTAAACGCAGTAACATTGAGCTAGACTTCAATCACAAGAGTTAAACAAATAACTTTGTGATGTGTTTCTTTTTCCAGACCTAGAAAAAGATCATTTTTTATATCGTAATAGTCTATTAAAAAATGTCCATATAAAAAGTGTGGGTTCTTTTCTCAGGCCTGCAGCTCCGTCTCTTCTTCATGTGAGCTGGTTTTAAGTGGCACCTGTCAGCCTCAGTGTCCAGGCCCACTGGCACGGCATCTGTCTGAAGGACAGCTGGGGCAGGAAGACCCGCAGTCCGCTGGGCTTTACAGGCTCCCAATGCACGGACCCGTGACCGACGAGCTCCACCTTTTTAAGAACAAAAACAACACGAGGACCAGGTTGGGATGTTGACAGAAAGGGTGAAAAAAAGAGTTTACGATGAGTCAGAGTTAGACCAAATACATGAAGGCTTTAAATACAGACATGTCATGTATTGATCTGCTACCTTAAGAGCCATGAATGGATTCAAGTGTAACTTTAAAGTCATTTTTAAGGCTATAGTATGTAATGGGTTATATTTTGTTTTTTTGGTTATTGTTATGATTATATTATATGTATTTGTATCTGTTCATGTTTTCTGATCAGTGGGACGGGGAGCTGAGCTGGGTTTCTGTATTTTCTTGTTGATCGCTGTTCTTTTGCTCACTGTGATTACTTTGATAGTGGCTGTTTTTGAAACCACCTACTACATAGTAACAAACACAGCATGTAGTATGAACTGCATACTACATACTTTGTTCGACAGTAGAAGTATGCCAGGCCCGGCTAAGCTGGTTTCGTGTCTTGGAATGCGGGCGTAAACAAAACCCAGCTGACTGCTGAAACTACAATGTCATTGTGTAAAAGTTACATACAGTCGCTTTAACCAGATTCATTAAAAAGGAGTTTAATGTGTTTGATAAATCAGTATAAAAAATGTCTGTTTAAAGCAGTATATTCTACTAAAAAGCCTTTTTCTTAAATGTCAATAAGCTTAAAGCTCGACCTTTTGTCTTACCTGAGTCTGTCCTTCTGTCACATCAGGTTCATTCAGGATCACAGATCCATCCATAGGCCACTCCAGTAAAATGGCAAAGATCCGCTTTTCCTGTGGTCTACAAGTGTACCTGTTAATGACAAAGCCCATTCAAGTAAAAAGTCGCTCATACAGTTTTTATAAATAGAATGGTTTCCCTATTACCTTATCTGATCTTATTCATGATTGGCATTAGAGAGGAGTCACCCTGCTACCACAACCCCCCCCCCCCCCAAAAAGTGATTAATAAAATCACCTATCATGATCGCTACATTCACAAGTTACATTACACTCCCTAAATACCAGTCATGTACATACCTATTTTCTGGAAAGAAAGTTATCAACTCAGTAAATTCTTAAATTATCTCCAGGCGGAAGAGACACACTTCATTGGCCATTACAATGAGCACCCACCAGACGTTAGGCGTGACGCTGTCATTCTGGGCCCTCCATGCTGTTGTGTTGTAAATCGCCTCCCCGTTGACTTTCAGCCACTGACCCATCTGTCTCAGACGCTCCTCAAAGATCGGAGCGATCCTTCCATCGTGTGTGGGGCCGACGTTCATCAGCAGGTTTCCCCCACAGGACACAGTCTCCACCAGAGTCTGAAAAACACATACTGTATCTATAAGAGTGAAAGACGCTGCCTATGGATGTTTCACCATAATACATCGTTTCAGGTTCATTCTCAGCTGTTAGTGAAGTTATTCCAGGAAGGATACTATTGAAAATACTCTAACATTGTTTTACTACACAAAGATTTGTGAACAGCTGGAGGGCTGCGCTCCACCAGAGTTAATATAGCTGAAACTTTTAGAGTAGCTTAATGTAAGATATATCATTTGAAATAAAAAAAAATGTTTTGTCTAATGAAGTGGAAGCTTGAAAAAGTTGACAGGTAAAAGACAACTCTTACTGCTACGATCTGCTCGATGGTGAGGTAGTCACTCAGGGCGGCATTTCGTCTGTAGCCCCATGACTTTGTGTCGATGGTCATGCAGTTCTCCCATTTGTGTTTGAGCAGGTGTCCAGGCTGGTAGCGATCAGCACAGGTGTAATATCCACCGTGCGTGCAGATGGAACCATAGCCCCAGCGATCATTTGTCACCACTGTGTCTCGAACAGGACTGTGAAGGAATAAGATGAATCATCCTAATGAATCATAAACTTACTGTCTAAATGAAATCTTACTTGATTACCTGTCGTTATAGAGCCAGGCTAAGAAACCTGTGCTGTTCCAGTACTTATCTGGTGCGTCTCCGTCCCCATCTGACCACAATATCTCTGGTTTGTATTTGACAACGAGCTCATACAGCTCAGGAAGCGTTTTACTGGTAGGAAAGTAGTTTGTCGTGAACACATTGGCAGCGTCCAGTTCAAAGAGTGGATTAAACCACTCAAAGAGAGAGTGATAGAGTCCTAAACGCAGGTCACTGTTGCCACGAAGGGCGCTCGCCACTTCATCTACCAGATCTCTTTTTGGTCCGACATCCACAGCGTTCCAGTTCCAGGAGTTCTTTGAGCCCCAGAGTGTGAAACCTGGGGAATATATGGATAACAAAGTTCATCTTCTGCATGTCTGAGGGGATGAACAAAGCACTTCAACTACTCAATGTGAAATTAAAACTACATTCTTTTAGTGTTTTTGCTGCCAACAACAAGAGGGAAACAAGGTGTAGATCATACCTTCATGGTGTTTTGTCGTCAGGACAATGTACTTCGCCCCTGACGAGGCAAAGATGTCCGTCCATTCTTCGGCATCAAAGAACTCCGCGGTGAACTGAGGTGCAAAGTCTTGATACTTGAAGTCTGGGGGATAATTACGCTGCATAAAGTCAACGTACGGCTTTAGTTTTTGCTTCTGCCAGTACCACCTGGAACACAAAACAAATGCAAGGTAAGCTGTGTTTAATAAAATAAAAATAAATGTTACCATGTGACAAAAATAATAAATTTATAACTGCATGTTTGCAAAGTTATTTAACATTTAAATCGATCATTAAACAAAAGCATGTAATAATAACCCAAACAAGGACAGATACACGGGGTAAACAAAATTGGAGTAACTGCTATAGGCTGAGGGATCATCATGGTGATGACTGAGAACTATTTTTTTTTCCCTCTAAAAGCCTTCCCCAGTCTTTTTGTGATGTTATCATTAAGGCTGAACAATAATTCCCAATTGTATTGGTATTGCAATATGAGCATTTACAACAAACACATGGCAAAGGTTTGAATTTATCACCATAAATAAGAAGAAAATATTTGATAAGTAATCAAGCAATGTTTTTTTTTTTTTTTTTTTCACTCAGCACAGTCTATGTTTTGAATGAAGGCCTGTTTAACACAGTGAAGCTCGGATACAGCTTTGAAACAGTCAGATGAAGCTCATGTGAGTTATAATCGCCTACCCTAAGATTCATTTGTGCCAGTTTAGTGCTGAAAAAAAAGAAGCTTTTTTTTGGATTTGTTGGGAATTCAAGAGAAACATATTTCAAAGAGCTATATATAAAATGCCAATACATATTCTCAATATTAGTGTATTTATCCCATTTCATATCAATGCTTAAACAATATTATTGCACATCACATTTTATATCGTGCAGTGCTAAGATAAAAATATATATATATAGTTTAGTAAAGCCTACATAAACTCAGTGCACTTATTTTGTAGTAGGCTTACAAATGTAATATTATTGAGTGTCCAGCTGTCCCAAGAATCTGCATGTGTAAAGTCGAAGTTTAGTGCTTGTGTTGTGTTCATTAATTGAAGTCTGGAACAAAAGCTCACCAAAACCACTCGCTTCCGAAGCTGGGGACGAAAAGACCCCCCAGTGTATGAAGATGCCGAACTTTGCCTGATCGAACCACTCTGGAAGCGGCCTGGAGTCGATGGACTTCCAGTCCGGTTCGTATTTTGCTCGACTGGTGCCAACTACCAGAAGCATCACTGGAATGAAAAGCGCGGATAAACATCCCATTTCAGGTCAAATTAACCCAAAACGATGGAGGGAACTGGACGGATATCGCACTGATTTGACGCTAAAATTTCACATTTGAAAGTGCAAGCAATCAAATCAGACGGAAACATGACAATTAAAGGTAACATGAACAGGCTTTGAGTCTTCTGAGAGGGGGGGGGGTGTGTTGCATTCGTTGACCGCAGGTGAACCGGTGACCGCTCAACCAATGAGATGTAATGGAACGCCACCGCACCGGGCGACGCTGCGTTCCAAATCTTGCGCTCCCGTTGTTGGTGTGTACGCATGCGCAGTCTCTCTCTCTCATTCCGGAAGAAGGTACAATGTTTTGGCTTCTGTAAGCTGAATCGTGCACACATGCGTGGCTACGTTGACTGTCACTGTCATATCTCCGCGAGGGATTTTGACAAGGTATGATCACGCATTTAAGAATACAAGTGGATATTTTTTTTTATTTTGGTTAATTTATTATGTTTTAACTTAATTGTTGTGTTTTAGGACATCGATGAGGTGGTTGAGAATTCCAAAAAGGTAAGCCGTCTTTGATTACAATTTGTGAGAGTAGTTTCAAAGAATACTATTGGTGACACGTTTCTTTGCTCTGTTGCTTCCTAGGCTGGGCTGTTGGCGCTGTTAGCAGTGGCCGAGCATGCCGGAGAATTTGAGAAGATTGTTGAGTTGTCACAGAGGTCGACTTAACTATCCTCCACAGGGTCATCACACCAATATTAATAAATGTCCTTTATGTGTCTCTGTGTAATGACATTTACTCTTTTCTCCAGGTTTCCAGGTTTTATCTTCCCCTGCCTGGGTGTTCACCCTGTTCAAGAAGTGTCCCCAGAGCAACAGAGGGGGGCTTCTCTGCAGGTAGGGTCCTGTTTTAAAGGGTCAGTTCACCCAAAGTAGAATTAAAATATATATATTTTTTTGTGTGTTACCAAATTTGTATTATCATTAAATAATACACTTCTCCTCAGAAACACTGAAGACATTGTCAGTACTCTATAAAATGACATCCAAAAAGTAACAGGGTAATTGTTCCTAGAGAAAGATTAGCTCCTGGATTTGTTCCAATACTGCATACTTACTTATACTTCAATCCCACAGTGTTGGGATGGTGGCAGAAATCTCAGCGACAGATATATTTAAATCCCAGACAACGTGGCGAGGGGGAGGCTTCTTTTTTTTTTTTTTGTGGGTGTAATTTTGGTGAATTTTAACATCTGTCATGTTGTAGATAAGTCATTTAGTCATTTAGTCATTAAGTCAGACTCCACAGCTGAAATCCTCCATCAATCCAAAAGTAACTTGTTGCATAGAACTCCTTCTACCTGTCTTTGCAAGGTCTAAACAACATTTAGGATGTTGTTTTCCGACTTTTTTGTTGTTGTTGTTGTTGTTGTTGTTGCAGGATCTAGATGCTGCTTTACCGATAATACAGAAATACAAAGACCACCTTGTGGCCATTGGGGAGGTAATTATTCAACATCTCTGGTTGTAATTAGTCAATAATCGTTTGCTGTCCTGTCGTTCTTTTGCTTTGAAGACAACTGTTCTGTCTGTTTTGCATGTATTGTTTTAGGTTGGTTTGGATTTTACACCCAGATATGTCAGCTGTGACTCTGATAAAGAGAGCCAAAGACAGGTCCTCATTCGTCAGGCACAGATCGCTAAGGAGCTGGATCTCCCTCTGTGAGTCTCACTGTTCGACTTTAGACTATACATCCAAGATGATATGTAAAGATTATAAACCTTTGTTTCAACAAAAAAAGGGATTATTCCAACAAAGCTACATTGATACTGAAAAGGGAATACTACACTACTATTCATGTTAGATACATGATTATGTTTTATTTATAGAAATGTTCATTCAAGATCTGCAGGAAGACCCACCATCCATCTCCTGAAGGAACAGGGTACAGTTTAGATTCCTTACCTGTTGCTATACTCTTTCTCTCGTGTTTGGGATAACGCTGCAATACATCTCGTTCGCCACTAGGTGTCGAAAAAGCCCTACTTCATGCTTTTGATGGGAAACCGTCTGTTGCCATGGAGGGAGTGAAGGCTGGGTATTTCTTTTCTATCCCCCCATCCATAATACGGAGTGAACAGGTACAGCAGAGTGTATGATATTAATATCAATATGTTGTATCACATCCCAGCCTGTTTTTAAAGATTCTCCTCAGTTACACAAACATACTGTACACTTTCAGCAGTACTTATATTATCTTTTGTCCTTTATGTGTAAGAAGACATAGGTGTATATTTTATATATATTTTCCTGTTTATGACAGAATTGACAGTGAAGTCAACTAAACCCTGCTCATAATGTCTCATAATTTTGTTGTTTCTATAGTTGAATGTTAATGACTTAAGATGGGTTGTGTTGTGAATTTTTCCACCAAGAAGCAGAAACTTGTGAAACAGCTGCCATTAGAGAACATCTGTCTGGAAACGGATTCACCTGCTCTTGGGCCAGAAAAGCAGGTAAAGTCATTTTCCCCTCAGATTATAAATATGAGTGTCATTAAAAATATTTTATTCCAATTAGCATTGAGGACAACTTTCTGCTGTGCCTTCCAGGTTTTTGTATTTTTGTGAGACACAGAATCTGTTTCACTTTTTGAAATTATAATACCTTAAGACGTCCTTCACTGTGTTCTCTTGTTATATCCTTCTTGCTGTGTGTCCTGATTGCAGGTGAGAAATGAGCCCAGAAACATCTGTATCTCTGCTGAGTACATCAGCAAGATTAAAGGAGTGTCGCTGCAGACGGTGATGGAGGTAACCACACAGAACGCCCTCCGACTCTTCCCAAAGATAAAGACCGCCATCAGACCCTGACAAAGATCTATAAACTCACGTCATCTGGCTGGAATGTTTTAAAATGATATGTCCAACTAACTCGATGTGGGAGTCTGATTGAACCAAGATGCCACGAAGTGTAAGAAAAAAAAAAAAATCACAGTTTCAGAGGAACGCATTTTAAAGAGTATGTGGACAGTAGAACTGTACTAGAAAGCTGAAAGACATTTATTTATCTCCCTTAAATCTTAAATAAAGGAAGAAGAGAGAACTATTTACCACACAACTTGTACATTTCTCTTGTAGGTGATGAATCTCAAACATCCAGCATTACAAAAACAACAGCTGATATCAACTTCAGTTGGATGTCATGTTAAGTCAAAATGATAACACATATCTTTCTTTTTATGACCCATCTACTGATCTAAGTAGAGCACTGATATCAATGAGTTCAATAATTTACCTGGACACTTTCATGACATATTTCAGTGTGATGTTTCCTTCTTTTTTATTAAAGTGTTTTATAATTTACTTAACATCATATACTATAACCAATCTGACCCCAAATCACCCAGACTTCACAGCTACAGCTATATAGAGTGTTGCTGCCTTCAAGTCCTCCTCTTATGATGGTGATTTAGATCTTTGTGTTTCACAATGAACTGCACATGTTTATGTTTATACATCTTATTGACATCAATGTAAGAAACAGGTGAGAGAAATATGAAATTAAGCGTCCTTGGTTTCTAAGTTATTATTATTATTATTATTAATAATAAAGAAAGGGAAGTTTACAAGATAAGACTATGTATGTTTTTTTTCTAAGCTGTCAGTGTCTCAAAATAACTTCTATTTTTAAATATAAAAATAAATCCAGGTTACTTTTTATGATCTTTTTATTCATTTTATTTACATCGTTTTTTAAAGTATTTTTTTATAGTTTTAATATAGGAGAAATATTTGAAAATATTTTAATCCTTTTTATGTAAAGCTTACTTTAATTTATTTAATAATACCTTTGCTTATACTTTCCATTATTTAATTATAATATAGTTAATACATTTCACTTTTTAAAGTCTCAAAAATCTTTATTTTAACATCAGTATGACTTTAAATTCAAGAGAAACAAAGAGAACTGTTAGCAGCTTTAAGGATGGGCTTAAAAACCCATTCTTCTGCTAAACCAGCTGTGTAATGGGGAAGGGTTGTTTCTCACTTACAGACTCGTCTGCATATCATTTTTCAGTAACCCTGGAGAATTAGCCACAGAGTGTATGATGCCATTCCTTCAGGCGCAAAGACCTCCACCCACTTCAGTCTCCCTATCCAAACCCAGCTGACTCACCAGAAGGAAAAATGTGTTCCTCACTACATCCTCAAAATAATACTAGAAACATACTACATGCCCTGTTTAAGGGTTTTATAACTGATATGAACAAGACAGTCTAGGTGATTCCTCCTAAATACCTAATGATGAATAAAGTGAAGAAGTGTCCATTAGAATTAGTCATAAATATTAACCTGCATGTTTTTTTAATTCGACCATAAAGTGATTATCATGCCAATCACTTTAAGGTCTAATTTTAAAAAAGCGACATAAACACAAACTGTTTTTTTTGTGAGGACCCCCCAGAATCGGTATTAGACCTTTTTTGGCTTTGTACGCATATTAAAAAAAATCTGGCAAGACTTCAGTAGATTCGTCATGGACCTTGTCTTTTAGAGACTTTGCCTTGTTGTGAGAGAAGACTTAGACTTAGACTTAGACTTAGACTTAGACTTTCTTTATTGTTTGTTAAATGTCTTTTAGAGACTTTGCCTTGTTGTGAGAGAAGGTAGTATTTTGTTTCCACTGAAACCCAAAGAAAAGAAGATAAAACATTGTTGTTTGTAGTTCATTGATTCATTTTACTGGCAAAATGATTTTGTTTCACAAATGTTAATTAAGTAAAAAAAAAAAAAAATCCTATTTATTTTCTTAAAGATGTTGAAGACTATATAAAACGTATACATAAATCTGAAAACAAAAAAGCTATTAAAGTCCTGAACAAATGTACTACACTCAATATGTTTATGTAACAAACATTGCCCTGGCTATTCTGTCTCCTGTTGTTGCTCTTTTTATATTGCTCTTGTATCCTGTGTACTTTGTTTTATTACTTTATTGCAATGATCACACACAGTCATCATGCTGGATAGTTGTTTCTTTAAAATGCATTGCAAAATATACTCATTCTGTAAATGAAGAACACAGCCAAAAGACGGCACATAAACTCAACTGCACAACAGAAGAACAGATAATGACCAAGAGGAAAAACTAAAATGGAAAAATAATAATAGTAAATAATGATAATGAG